GCAGTAACTCTCTTTTACAATAGAGATAATTTTATGCTTACTGCCATAAACTGAGTTTCTGCAGAGGGAATAGAGGAAGATAAGGCTAAACTGTTATCTTAAAAGAAGACTTGTTGTATGTCTTTGTTCGTATCTTGGAAATATTGACAGTATAAGGATATATGCACTGCATTATAATAGAGCTAAAAACAGTTTACACTATTTTTTTCTCATTTAAAGGGAATTTTTTGGCATTGTAAAGTCTTTTTACGTAGGTTGCTTATACAGTATGTGCTTTATATGTGTGAGTGTAAATATATACAGTATGTAATACACACTATATTGCCAAAAGTATTGGGATGCCTGCCTTTACATGCACATGAACTCTAATGACATCCCACTCTTAGTTCTTAGGGTTCAATATTGAGTTGGCCCAACCTGTGCAGCTATAACAGCTTCAACTGTTATGGGAAAGTGACACTGAAGTTGCAGTGAGATAGGCAAGATGCGAACCAATGAAGAGTACAGTCATGGAGGCCAAAGAAATAAAGTTTTTTTTGAGGAGGGGGTGCTCAACTGTGTCAAAGGCAGAAGAGAGGTCCAAGAGTAAGAGTATGGAATAGTTACCATTGGTTTTAGCTGTTTGGAAATCGTTTGTGAGTTTTAGGAGAGCAGTTTCTGTTAAGTGTTGCGGGCGAAATCCAGACTGGAGGGGATCAAGAAGGTCATTCTCAATGAGGTGGCAGCTCATCAGGTTGTAGACTAGACATTCAAAGAGTTTGGAGGCAAAAGAGACTAAGGAGATGGGCCTTAGGTAGTTAAGATTGGTGAGGTCCAGTGAGGCCTTTTTAAATATAGGGGTGACTAGTGCATATTTTAGAGGGTTGGGGAAGATGCCAGTAGAAAGGGAGAGATTGAATATTTGAGTTAAAGAGTGTAGGATAGAGCCAGAGGGTGACCATAGTATTTGCGAGGGAACAATGTCCAGGGGCAGGTGGGTAGGTGGGCTTTAGAAAAAATGTTTGGTGACTTCCTCTATAGTAACTGGGTTAAACAGGGGAATGATTGATTTTGGAGGTGGACAAGGAGTGTGGGGTAAGGGGGATATCTGTACAGTGAAGATCTCGTCACGAATTGTATCAATCTTATTTTTGAACTGATTAGCAATCTCTTGGGCATTGAGTGAGTTAGTGGGTGGAGGTAATGAAGGCTGAAGTAGAGAGTTAAAGGTAGCAAATAGTTGATGGGGACTGCTTGAGAGGGTGTTAATGAGAGTGATAAAATAGGTTTGTTTGGCAGTGTGGAGGTAGGAATTGTATTTTTGGAGAGCAGGTTTATATTGGTCGAAGTCTTGCTGGGACTTAGTCTTATGCGACAGACTCTCAAGATCACGGCTATGTTTTTTGAGGCATGGGGTATTGTCTGTTTGCCAGGGTTTGTAGCAGTTGGGTCCTGATTTTGTGTGTAGTGAGGGGGGCCAATGTGTCCAGGTTGGATGACAATGAACTGTTGTAGATAGAAGTGGCTAGGTTGGGGCAGGACAGGGCTGAGGTTTTGTCATAGAGACAATCTGTTGCAGAAAAAAGAAGAGAAGGGTTAGGAAAGCGAAGGTTTCTACGGGTAACTGTTGGGTAGTTTGAAGTCAAGGAGGAGGAAGTCAAGGAGAGAGTGTTGCTAATAAGAGAGCGATCAGAGAGAGGAAAAGGAAAGTTGGTAAGGTTGCAAGGAGTGCATAGGTAAGAGAATGACAGGTCAAGTCAGTTACCATAAGAGTGAGTAGAAGCATGTGTCCATTGTTTTAGGTCAAAAGAGGAGGTCAGACTCAGAAGCTTAGAAGTAGCAGGAGTGCTAAGATTAGCAGGGATGTTGAAGTTACCCAGAATGATTGTGGGAGTTTCAGAGGGAGAGAAAGTAGGATAGCCAGGCAGAGAATTCATCAAGGAAGCTTGATACCAGTCCTGGATGCTGATAAATCACAGCAAATCTCAAAGAAACTGGAGAGAATAGATGCAATCTTCAAATGAGGAGAGGGACAGAGAGGGCGGTGAAGGAAGGACCTGAAAAGTATAGGTATAGTAGGAGGACTCCAACTCCACCTCCCTCCTGTCCACTATGCCTGGGAGAGTGAGTCCAGACGAGGCCACCATGGAAGAGGGTAGGAGGAGAGGGAAAGTCAGATTTGCGGGGCCAGGTTTCAGTCATTGCAAGTAGGTTAAAGGAGTTTGTGATAAAAAGTTCATGGATCGAGGTGAGTTTGTTACAGAGCAGGCATTCCAAAGGGCACAGGAAAATGGGGGGGCCTGGTTCTAGGAAGAAGAGGAATAGAAATCAGATTACGGCTGCTATTAGAGGATAGGGGTGCTGGATGTGTTGGTCAAAGGAAAACGATGGTGGCCCAGGATTTAGGGAGATGTCTCCAGATATTAGGAAAATCAGAAGGATGAGAGAGGTAATTTGGGAGTAAGACTTATGTGGAGGGACAGGTCCCAGTGTCCTGGAGGTTTTATTAGTATGTGGGTTCAGGATTAGCAGGAGTTGATAAGTGCAATAATAAGGTGAAGATAGGAGTGAGGGTGATATATATAAGCTGTGGGGCGGAGAGGAGGGGTGAAGGAGAGAGAGTTTGAGGAGAGAGGATACAACTTTGAGAAGAAGTAGGGAGTGCATGTTACAGAGTGGTGAGATTAAAAAGCAGACTAGGTAAGAGAGAAAAATGATGGATGGGGAAAACAGGTCACCTGCAGTCTGGTTAGCATTTTGCAGTTGTGTGCTGTGGATTCACGCTTTGTGCATTCGCTGAAGTGCAGAGCCAAAGTACAATACTCAATACTTAATCCAAGATTAATATTTTATATGAGATGATAGTTGCCAACGCTATCCCTGCCTGCTCTACCCCTGCCTGTGCCTCCCCTAAGGAAATTTATAGTTGGGTGGGGGTATTGCCAGTACAGCCGGCCTTCCTACTTGGTAGGTGCCACTGGACTTTTGGGGCCCACTGGAGGGACAGCTATACTGCATTATCAGCGGCCCTGAATATGATTTTTCTTTTTTTATTCAGGACCACATTTTTGATTACTCCTTAAAGTAAATATGAATAATATGTTTCATATTTGCAATCAGCAGCTGGTGCAGTAGGAAACAAATTCAAGGTTTCTCCTGTTGATTGCTGCTATAATGTGAATAGTTTAAAATGACCTAAATTATTTGAAATCCTGCTATTTAGATCTAACAACAACACTCAGCTGAACAGAGAAAAGACAATTAAGCCACACTCTGTATTCTAGCTTATACAGGCCCATAGGCTTTCTTAGGGTCTTTGGCTATGGACTTTGGGCTTGCATTAATGGCATCAGTTTGGCATCAGTTTGAGATGGTTGTGAGATCATTCAGAATTCATTGACAAGTGCCTTTTACCTGCAGTTGACCTTCTTCTGGTTTGCATTTTACCTGCTTCAAGCGGGTTCATCTTCCCCGAGGCTTGTATGGGGATTCAAAATAGGATGTGAACAAAAGCCAGTTGAGTTGGCACATGCCCTTAAATTGTCATAGAAATTGCCTATTTTAGAGAGTTAGTTCACGTTTACCAAAAAATTGCCTATGCAAGTAAAGAGTATCTGTAGATAAAACAAACTGCAGCTTTTGCTATAGGTGTAGGCCATTTACAGTACGTACCTCCCTTAGCCTGGGCAAAAACTCCCAGAGATGGCATCACCTCATCCTGACTTGTTGCTAGGATGTTGCTAAGACAATCCCAGCTGTTACTGCTCACCACCACTTTTCCAGGAGTGAGCTCCTAAACCTCTGCACATGTGTGATCCACCATCTCACTCAGCTCAGAGCTACTGCGGTGGGGAGAAAGAGAGCATGTGAGGGGGTATGAATTGACTAGGAGTGTCTTAGCAACAGGACAGGAGGATGTCATGTTGGGATTTTTCCAGTCAGGCTTAAAGAGGTATGTAAATGGCCTACACCTAAAGAAAAGGAATTTTTCAATATTGGTCAAAGTTGCACAGTTAGTTTTTATCTACAGGTGCCTCTTACCTGCATAGGCAGTTTTTTTGTAAAGCTGAACTGACTCTTTCAATGTTTATTAGTAATATAAAACTTTTGTAAAAGAATTGATATAAAACAGAGTTATAAACTTGAACAGAGTAAAAAAATACAAATAGGTTGACAAAAACATTATTGTTTCACTTCAATAGAACCACTGCGTGCTGCTACATAAAATAAAGCCATTAAAGCTCAGAAAGACTTTATGTGAAAAAAAAACACAGGGTGCTTTTAGGTACTTTTTCCATGAAAACATCACATTTTTTTTCTGAGATTGTATTTGGGTTGAATTGTGTGGCCATTTTTGTGCAAAATGTTTGTGAGAGCAATGGTCTAAAAAATAGTAACTATGCTTTTCTTTTTTGGTAAAATCTCAATGTGGCATTCTTGCTTAAGAGATATTGAAATCCAAAAACATACGTTTGAATATATTTCAGCTCACTGTCTTTGGATGGTGATGACTACAATATTTTTGTTTTTTGAGCTTAGAAGATTTTAGCAAGCTGTTTGTATTTGTAAGTGGCTGTTCTGCTTAATCACTTGCCCTGCAGAGAATTTACCCCCCTTCCTAAACATGCCATTTTTTGTGTTACGGCACTGTGTTACTTTAACCTCCCCGGCGGTATGATTATTTCAGATTTTTGGTGCTGAAAGCGGTACCATTTTTTTGCATGGAAGTATTTGTTTTTATTGTAGGCCTGTAATTTAGGAATAACTCACTGAAATCTGTCCGAACAAGAGTCTAGTAAACATTCTGGGTAGGATAAAACTTGAAACACGAAATCATAAATTATAATTTAATAAATAATCATAAAAAATAACAATATAATAATAATAAATTTAATTCAATAATATAATCAAACCAAAAACACTGAAATTTGAAAAATAGCGCCAAGTTCGCACATTGCTGAGCAAAGTCGCAGAATCGTTTTCAGTGTCTGATGACGAAATTCCCCACGAATCATTATCACTTAATTCTGCAAGTGGTTCTGATTTACTATCGCTGTTCTCTAGCTGATCTAAACCCGCTTTTGACATAAAGGGATGCTTTTTGGACGCCATGGACTTTTTTAAGTTTCCAGGCAGAAAGAACAGTCAAAATGCAGGCAAGGCACAGGACAAAGCAGTACGGACAAAATGTATGTGAAATGCTTTGATACAGTAATGTTTTACTATGTAATAATCGTTTAAAAAAAATGTAGTTTTTAAAAATTTTCAAATTTGCAGGACTGGAACACGGAAGCCGGATGCCGGCATCGGACGGAGGAGATGGCCGGGGACACTGCAGGGGACACATCGCGGGAGCGAAGGACCAGGTAAGTGCTGCAGGAAATCCATGTGCAACGCTGCATGGTAAGCCCAAGTGTAGCTCGGGGTTTCCGCTTTTGGTACTGAAACTCTACCCTGAGCTACACTCGGGAATACTGCTAGGGAGGTTAACTGACAATTGCACGATCATGCAATGCCGCACCCAGATGAAATTTATGTCCTTTTTTCCCATGAATTGAGCTTTCTTTCGGTGTTATTTGATTGCCTGTGCATTTTTTATTGCGCTATAAGCAAAAAAATCCTGACAATTTTGGGAAAAAAAAATATTTTGAACTTTTTGCTATTAACCGCCTCCCACCCGCCATATAAGTTAATGATGGGTGCAAGGCAGTTCTCTCGTTCTGGGAGGACGTCATATGACGTCCTCCCACTCTAACTGCACATGCACAGCGTGAGGGGCGCGCAATGCTGTGATTGGTGGTGCACTGTGTCCCTCGGACACAGCAGATTACCGATCGACGGAAAGAGCCGAAGATGTCCAATCACAGCTGATCGCATATAAATATGTGTCACGTACCTGATGGGAGACTGAATTGATGAGGTCGGCCTCACTTGTGTCACTAGCCCTGACCCCGCTGAAGTTGGAACAGAGGGAGTCTAGGGACCAGGGGGACAAGAGCGTCAGAGGTTTGCTTGCAGCTCTTGCAGATGATGACCTTGGTAGGCAGGGTATCCTCTGATTTGGGTACTGTAGCAATAGACCAGGCAGGTACTGTGGATTGCCAGATGCACAGCAGAGCCAGGTTTGTAGCCAGGACACAGGACTGGAGCGGAGTCGTAGGATAGCCAGGGTCATAACAGTCGGGCAGCGCGGTACAGTATCAGGAGGAAAAGCCAAAGTCAGGATCAGAGCCGAAGTCAGAAACCAGGGGGCAGGAGAGTACTCAGAGTCGGGTCAGGAACAAGCCGGGTCAGCACCAAAGGAATCGTACAGGAACAAGCAGGACACAGGGGGGAGCTGAAGACCAGTCAGCACTGAATCTGGGCAGAGGCGCACCTTAAATAGCCTGCCTGGCGCCAATCTTTGGCTTGCGTGTGCACGTGTGCGTGCATGTGCGCGATCGCGCATTCCTGCGTGCCTGCGCACAACCGGCAATTCTTCTGCGGGGTCTCTTTCGCGCATGCGCGTTCGCGATCACGATTCTCCTTGTGGGAATCCTCTTACAATATGGAAATGCCAGTTATCGGCATTTCTCTCCCCACGAGCTGTCACGCTGACAGCTCGAGAGGAGAGAAGAGCCAGTAATCGGCATTCCTCGGAGGGGACATGTACATTGATCATCAGGGCACTGATGATCAGTGTGGCCCCAGAAGTGCCACCTGTCAATGCCCATCAATGCCACCTGCCAGTGCCCATCAATGCCACCTGCCAGTGCCCATCAGTGCCACATCAATGCCACATATCAGTGCCTACCAGTGCACATCAATGCCACATTTTAGTGCCCATCTGAGCTGCCTTTTAGTGTCACCTATCAGTGCCAATCAGTGCCACCTATCAGTACTGCCAATCAGTGCCACCTATCAGTGCTGCCAATCAGTGCCACCTATCAGTGCCAGTCATTGCCGCCTATCAGTGCCAGTCAGTGCTGCCTATCGGTGCCAGTAAGTGCCGCCTATCAGTGCCCATCAGTGCCACCGAACAGTGCCCATCAGTGCCACCTAACAGTGCCCATCAGTGCCATCTAACAGTGCCAGTCAGTGCCACCTATCAGTGCCAGTCAGTGCTGCCTATCAGTGCCACCTATCAGTGCTGCCTATCAGTGCCACATATGAGTGCTGCCTCTCAGTGCCCATCAGTCAATGCCAGTCAGTGCCACCTACTAGTGTCTCCTCATAAGTGCCCGTCAGTGCCCATCAGTGCAGCCTATCAGTGCCCATCACTGCAGCCTCATTAGCGCACATCAGTGAAGGAAAAAAAATCACTTATCTACAAAATTTTATAACAAAAACTAAGGAAAAAACTTGTTTTTTTCAAAATTTTCAGTTGTTTTTGGTTTGTTTAACAACAAATAAAAAACCCAGAGGTGATTAAATACCACCAAAAGAAATCTCTATCTGTCTCAAAAAAATTATAAAAATGTCATATGGGTATTGTGTTGCATGACCGCGCAATTGTCATTCAAAATGCGACAGCGCTGAAAGCTGAACACTGGCCTGGGCAGGAAGGGGGTTTAAGTGCCCTGTAGGCTAGTGGTTAAACATGTCCAGTAAAAAAATGTAAACACATTTAATTTCGTCATAAATTCAGGCCAAAATGTATTCTGCTCCATGTCTTTGCTAAAAGAAAATCCCAATACGTGTAAATTAATTGGTTTGCGTGAAAGTTATAGCGTTCACAAATGGCGGTATAGATGCTGGGATTTTTTTTTCCTACTACTAATGGCGGCGATCAGCAACTTTTAGCGGGACTGCGGCGGGCATTCTGACACTTGGGGGTAACTAACTTGGTGTCACTGATATCCCCAATGACACCAATACAGTGATCAGTGCTAAAAATGACACTGGGAAGGAAGGATTTAATGTTAGGGACGATCAAAGGGTTAACTGTGTGTAGGAAGTGTTTTACTAGGGGGCAGGGGGTGTGTTTTAGGTCATCTTACAGATTTTCTATAAAGGTGAACTTACACTTTAACCGCTAGCCTACAGGGCATTTTTACCCCCTTCCTGCCCAGGTCAATTTTCAGCTTTCAGCGCTGTCGCACTTTGAATGACAATTGCGCGGTCATGCAACACTGTGCCCAAACGACATTTTTATAATTTTTTTGAGACAGATAGAGATTTCTTTTGGTGATATTTAATCACCTCTGGGTTTTTATTTTTTGCTAAACAAAGTAAAAATTTATGAAAATTTTGAAAAAAAGGTTTTTCTTAGTTTCTGTCATAAAATTTTGTAAATAAGTAATTTTTCTCCTTCACTGATGTGCGCTAATGAGGCTGTAGTGATGGACACTGATAGGCTGCACTGATGGGCACTGATAGGCTGCACTGATGGGCACTGATAGGTGGCACTTATGGGCACTGATGAGGAGGCACTGGTAGGTGGCACTGATGTGCATTGACAGGCATCACTGGTGATATTGACAGGCATCACTGATGGGCACTGAAAGGCAGTACTCATATATGGCACTGATAAGCGGCACTGATGGGCACTGATATGTGGCACTGACTGGCACTGATAGGCGGCACTGATTGAACTGTCAGACGGCACTGATGGACACTGATAGGTGCCACTGACTGGCTCTGATAGAGCGGCACTGACTGACACTGATAGGTGCCACTGATAGACAACACTGACTGGCACTGATAGTTGGCACTCAAAAGCAGCTCTGATGGGCACTGATATGGGGCAATGATGTTACTGAAGGGCACTGGTATGTGGCATTGATGGGCACTGACAGGTGGTATTGATGAGCACTGACAACTGGCACTGATGGGGCTACACTGATGGGCACCGATGATAAGTGTAGATGTCCCCTCTGAGGAATGCCGATAACCACCATTTCCTTGTTTACATGCGATCAGCTGTGATTGGACACAGCTAATTACATGATGTCATTGGCTCTTTACTCTGATCGGTAATTCGCTGTGTCTCAAAGACACAGTGCACCACCGATCACCCGGCCGCACGCCCCCCGAGGGCACGCATGCGCAGTTAGAGTGGGAGAGCATCATATGACGTCCTCCCAAAGCGAGAGTACCACCTTCCGTCCATCATTTCCTTATATGGCGGTCGGGAGGCGGTTAAAGAAGAACTTCATTAAAACCAACAACAGTTGAGACAATGAACACCTTGATCAGGTCTATGTACAGTATAATGTATAAAGTACATGGGTCAGGAATTAGAATAAAAAAAAAACGTATATGAGCGCCATGTTCACATTAGAGTTCTCCCTTATATCGAAGTCCACAGTATTCCCCCTACACATCAGAGTCTTCAAAGCCTCACTTACATTAGATTCCACAGAGTCCCACCTTACAGCAGAGTACTGCTCCTTACATCAGAGCCCAGCAGAGTGCCCCTTTCATCACTGGCATGTAGCTGGCATGAAAGGGCTTTTAAAAAAATCCCCTTGTTGCTGGCTCCTAACTGTGAATGCACAGTTCCAGAGACAGCCAATTAGTGACCTGCCAGGTTCTCCGAAACTCATGCGGTGGAGCATGTGAATATAAGGCAGTGCAGGGAGGTGGGGATGGGATGAGTGGCAGTGAGGGGGGAATATGATGAGTGGCAGTACTGGTGGGTAGTTGGGATGAGTGGCAGTGCTGGGCGGTGAGGATGGGATGAGTGGAGGAATGGGATCAGTGGCAGTGCTGGGGGGAAGGGTAGAGTTAGCAGCAGTACTGGGGAGGGTGAAATTAGTGGCATTGCTGGGGGGAGGGAGGAATTAGTTTCAGTGCTGGGGGGGGGAGGGTGGAATTAGTGGCAGTGCTGGGTGGCAGGGTGGAACTCTAGGAAATACTGATGGGGAGGGGGGATTTTGTGACAGTGCTGGGGGAGGGGGGGATTAATGGCAGTGCTGGGGGGGAGGATGGGATCAGTGGCAGTGCTGGGGGGAAGGGTGGAATTAGCAGCAGTGCTGGGGAGGGTGGAATTCGTGGAAGTGCTGGGGGGAGGGTGGAATTCATGGCAGTGCTGGTGGGGGATTAATGGCAGTGCTGGGGGAAGGTAGGATCTGTGGCAGTGCTGGGGGTGTGGAATTAGTGGCAGTGCTGGGGGAATGGGGTGAGTTGCAGGTGGCTTCTTCATCAGGCTCTATCAAGAAGAGGTCAGGAAAACGTTGTATATTGCACGCTGGCTTAGCAGAAATCAAAGTCATCTTCTGATCTGAGGACTGTTATGGGGACTATTAATGACAACTATTATCACTGACAATGGTACTCACTTTATTTCCAGCTCCTTGGTCTCTGCAGCAGTGACACCTATGCTGAGATCATGAGATGGAGTCTCTTCCAGCTCCACCCCCTTCACGGTCATAAAAGGTCAGCTGTTCTCTAGTCTCCACACTCCAGCAATGCTGCGAAGTGATGAGCTCAAGAGGCTGCCGCAGTTGCTTTGTGCCCCACAAGGACATGCGGCCATGGCCCACCGGGCAAGTGCCTGGAGTACCCTATGGCCAGTCTAGCACTGGTTAATGTTATATGTGGGTTGCTGTAGTTCCTCTGCTCCCAATTACTTTGATTAGGTTACTGGTTAATTTCCCATGAGGGAAATCTCCTCTGTTCACAAAGGCCCTGAACTAGGTGGAGGCACTGCCAACGTTATTATCAATCCCACTCTTCCACTTAGCAATGCTTGTGCATCTCTTATTTACTTACAGGTACATGGCCACCACATCTAAGGACTAATATGCTGAAGTATATTACTAGAGATGAGCGAATTATTCAAAAATTCGATTCGGCTGATTCGCCGAATTTGTGGAATAAATTCGATTCGATGCGAATTTATTCGCTGCGAATTTAACTTATAAAAAGGGTTTCTAGGCTTCAGAGAGCCTTTATATTAGTGCAGAACACTGTACCTTTAATTTAAATGCCCTTGGAGTCTGCTGGGGAAGAGAAATAATACTGTCAGTCAGTATGACATGCAGATGAGTGCCGTCGATCTTAGAATCACCGCACACTTCACTCATTTGGGCAGTCACGGGGCCAAAACCAGAGTGTGGAGCCACAGTGTGGCGGTGGAGGCAGCAGCAATGGGAGGCCATACAGCACCCTATGACAAAATGGAACCCACCAGCAGTGTGAGGAGACCTGAAAGTGGCACATGGCAGAGTGTGGCGATGGAGACAGCAGCAATGGGAGGCCGTACAGGGACCCATGACACACTCTGGACCTGGCAGCAGCATGAGGAGGCGGTACAGGGGCCCATGGCAAGAAGAAGAAGAAGAAGAAGAAGAAGAGAGGATGAGGATGAGGATGATGAAGAAAAGAAGAAGTAGGATGAGGATGAAGAAGAAGAAGAAGAAGAAGTAGGATGAGGATGAAGAAGAAGAAGAAGAAGAAGTAGGATGAGGATGAAGAAGAAGAAGAAGAAGTAGGATGAGGATGAAGAAGAAGAAGAAGAAGAAGAAGAAGAAGAAGAAGTAGGATGAGGATGAAGAAGAAGAAGTAGGATGAGGATGAAGAAGAAGAAGAAGAAGTAGGATGAAGAAGAAGAAGAAGAAGAAGAAGAAGAAGGATGAGGATGAAGAAGAAGAAGAAGAAGCAGGATGAGGATGAAGAAGAAGAAGAAGAAGTAGGATGAGGATGAAGAAGAAGAAGAAGAAGAAGTAGGATGAGGATGAAGAAGGATGAGGATGAAGAAGAAGAAGAAGAAGTAGGATGAGGATGAAGAAGAAGAAGAAGAAGAAGTAGGATGAGGATGATGAAGAAGAAGAAGTAGGATGAGGATGAAGAAGAAGAAAGAAGAAGTAGGATGAGGATGAAGAAGAAGAAGAAGAAGAAGAAGAAGTAGGATGAGGATGAAGAAGAAGAAGAAGAAGAAGAAGAAGAAGTAGGATGAGGATGAAGAAGAAGAAGAATGAGGATGAAGAAGAAGGATGAGGATGAAGAAGAAGAAGAAGAAGAAGTAGGATGAGGATGAAGAAGAAGAAGAAGAAGAAGAAGTAGGATGAGGATGAAGAAGAAGAAGAAGTAGGATAGGATGAGGATGAAGAAGAAGAAGTAGGATGAGGATGAAGAAGAAGAAGAAGAAGAAGTAGGATGAGGATGAAGAAGAAGAAGAAGAAGAAGAAGAAGTAGGATGAGGATGAAGAATAATAATAATAATAATAATAAGAAGTAGGATGAGGATGAAGAAGAAGAAGGATGAGGATGAAGAAGAAGAAGAAGAAGAAGAAGAAGTAGGATGAGGATGAAGAAGAAGAAGAAGAAGAAGTAGGATGAGGATGAAGAAGAAGAAGAAGATGAGTAGGATGAAGAAGAAGAAGAAGAAGTAGGATGAGGATGAAGAAGTAGAAGAAGAAGTAGGATGAGGATGAAGAAGAAGAAGAAGAAGAAGTAGGATGAGGATGAAGAAAGAAGAAGAAATAGGATGAGGATGAAGAAGAAGAAGAAGAAGAAGAAGAAGGATGAGGATGAAGAAGAAGAGAAGAAGAAGAAGTAGGATGAGGAGAAAGAAGAAGAAGAAGAAGTAGGATGAGGATGAAGAAGAATTCCATTCCAGCAAAAAGTGTATCTGCAGAGAGCTCCTCTATTTCTGACAGTTCTCTGACAGTTCCTTCACATTTACAGCGGTTGAAACATTGTATCTATTTGTTTCCGAATAAAAACATCTGTATCCTAAATGGAAACAAATAGATACAATGTTTCAACTGCTGTAAATGTGAAGGAACTGTCAGAGAACTGTCAGAAATAGCGGAGCTCTCTGCAGGGACACTTTTTGCCGGCTGTAGAAGGGATGAAAATCGGCGGATCGGGGAAAATTCGATTCGTGCATCCAAAGTTTGCTAATATTCGGATTCGACGCGAATCGAATTTTTCCTAATATTCAAAACGAATTCCACTTCGCCAGGTTCGATTCGCTCATCTCTATATATTACTTCTGTAAGGTTTCAGTATGCTTTAATGTGAATCTTTCATTAAAATTAATTTTATCTTTACTCATTATACATACAAAACTTCTGTTTCCCAGCTCTCAGCCTAGGCAGCCTAGGTCTACCAGTACCAATCATTAATGCAGACAGTCTATTGTTTTTAATCAGTAGTGAGAGAAGAGGATCGAAATGTCTGCCCCCACATACACAGATAATTACCAATTATATATGGCTTTAATACATTAGATATTGATAACATTGGCTGTTCTCTTTCTCCTTTTTTTAGCTAAAAAACAAAAAAAAGCCTATAAGATCAATCCGCTAAGATGGGTGAGTTGTTTTACCTCCTTTACAAGCATAAATATCTTTAGGTGAGTAATTGTTATTTTTCACTAAATTAAACAAAAACTATATTTCTTACAACCATTATATTATCTCAAGAAGTTTTATTTTATTATCACCTTAAATGGCTCATTTTTCTGCTTTCCTCAATAGAAAATGGGCATTAAATAACACTAAAGCCGGCCATAGATGATGCGAATTTCTTTCCTGCAGCATCGGGCTGCAGGAAAGAAAATTGCTCAATTCCTCCAAAAACGCAGTCAGAATTTATGGGGAAACCCTTCCGTGGAGCTATTGTGTTCTCCTGGAAGGCGGGTGTGGGGGGAACCGTCCCTGCTGGGAGAACACAGTGATTATTGCTAGCGACTATACTGTAGCCTCTGGAAATAA